GGAGTGCGGGTACTGACCGGGGCTACAGTAACAAGCTGCCATCTGAAAAACAAGAGCCAAAGAAACACCTGAGATGCTACAAAACTCTGCAGAACATGAGTTTCACCAGCTACAGGTAAACAGGAGAACCTGGGTGATGATTGCTCCTCCAGTAAATTAAAGTAATTCATTTCAAAGCATGTAAGCAAAAAACCCCCACCCCCAGAATAAATGCACACAGCTCAGTTTAAGAGGGAGCCCCCCACCAGGTGAAAAGCTCGCTGCACAACAGACAGCACGATCCGATTTTCAGCACAGCCTGTGGAAGGATGGAAGCAGAGCCCTTGTACCTGTGGCACAGGTTGCTGCATGTATCCCTGCTGCTGGAGGACTTGCTGGCTGACAGGGTGGCTGGATGTCGAGTAGCCCGGGGCAGAAACTTGCTGGCCGTTGGGCGGTGGAGGTGGAGCGGCTGCGAGGATATAACCGGACTGCTGTGGGGGCTGCAGGACCACCGTGGACGGGAACAGAGCAGCGTGAGGTTCAGCTGGGTCAGCGGGTGGCTGGCGGGCAAGACTCATATGGCTAAACTGTGATCCTAGGCTGTCTTGCTGTAATAGTTAAAAAAAAAATAATGGAAAAATTACATTCACAAATTTGCATTCAAGAAAAGAAAGAATAAAAACAGACAAATAGCTCTGGAAGTTTCAGATACGTGTGTCTCAAATTACTGGGCATTAGCAACATCAGCCAAAGAACAACAGCAAAGAACAAGAGGGAACACAGCAGTAAATTATCTTCTGGGCTCACAGCAGGAGAGAACATCCACATTTGGAGACCTCACTTATTTCACTGCAAACACTCAATTTTTGGCTTACATCTGCCTCTATCTACTTATTCTAGGAATTTGTGTCACTAACACTATCTGATTGGACTCCAAAAGCCTGAGTGACAATATCTAATCCTAGTTAAAACAGCAGAAAACATTAGTATTCCTGAAGTAATTTTTGGTTTGAAGAGCTTAAGTTAATGAGGCTCTAATCCTGAATAACAAGGTCTATTCCTCTAATTAATTTGGTATTACACTATGTGCAAGGATTAATTTTTTTTAAGCTTGAAATTAAGTAATAGCTGCAAGAAATGTATTCTAGTAGTTAACTGCTATCTGCATTTTATTAACATCTGAAATTCTGATGCTGATTGCACCGAGCACTGCAGGAGTCCTGTGAAATGTGAAACTTCCATTACTGTAACCCCAAGCTCCTTTTCTTTACAAGCAATTCAGCATCAAATTATCAACATCCTGGAAATTAGAAGTGATCACTAGTATTGTTTGCTAAACAGGAAGATTTGGGTCATAATTAAAAAGTGGACTCTCCAAATATGGAGGAACATTAAAAAAAATTTAAGACCACCTGATCTTTTCTCTTAGAGCATCCTGAAGAAGACAGGAGTTAATCAAGAAAGAGCTAGAGCAGGCTCTGTCTTTACTGATTAGACACATTCACATTTCATGGTACAATTTTATAATTCCCACACTAAAGATAGTCTTAATTACCACTGGAAATGCAAGTTTGCACCTAAAACTTTATTTAGAATACCTGTAACATCTTGAAAAGCCCTATTTTCATTAGATGAAAAATCTAACTTTGCCTTTGACATTTAATACGTTAATGATGCCTATTAACAGAACCTTTCTACATTGGGTTTTACATTAGGCTTTTCATCACACCTAGCTGAGAGAGGAGATACTGCTATTTGACTGTAATACTACCTCCAGAAATGTCCAATGGATAAGCCCAAGCAATAGACATTTCCTTCTGTTACACCACCAACAGGAGTGAAACCTGATTAGGTCAGTTTGTCCTACCATGGTATGTACAGTACAAACAGGATTAGCCACTGAAATATGACACACCAGATTTTCCTGATATTGACTACGGATACATTGCATTTAGATTACAAGCCAAGACCATCAATCCTTTTCACTATGTTACTTGGTTGACCATCAGGAGTAATAAAATCTTTGAGACTGGCAGCACATTTAGTATTTTAACTCATCTGCTGAATGGGAAATGCTTTGAAATTATGATAACCCTGGAAAGAGTTTCATTCTCTGCTTCAACAGCCACATGCCTAACAGTGATTGTGAAGCTCAGCATAGTGGCAGCTAGTGCAGGCGTCTCTAACAGCAGTTAGAAATCTGCTGAGCTCACCCAGGAAGCTCACATGGGTTAATTAACCATTCTCATGTCATTCCCAAGGAGGTAAGTTATACTGACTGCAGTCCACATGCTGTCAAATTCTAAAATAACATTAGAAACAACATAGCTACTACTAAAACACACTCCATGAAGTGCAATTCCTTTTAGAATTACATACCTAGAGGACAGTCACAGTAGTGACTAGATAACAGTAACATCGTATTAAGTATATGCAGGCTACTGAATTCACATAAATCTGTGTCTATTATTAGGAGACATTTCTGATTAATGTTGAAAATAATAGCCAAATAAAACCTCCGAATACATAATAAAATAGCTACTTGTATAACACTGTGGTGGGTTAACTCTGGCTGTCTCCTAGGTGCCCACCAAGCCACTCCACCACTCCCCCATCCTTAGCAATACAGGGAGTTTGCTCACCAGGTACCATCACAGGCAAAACAGATGGTGGGGAAGGTGAATTTAATTAACTGCCAATTAATAACAGGGTAGGATAGTGAGAAATAAAAAACTAAACTGAAACTGACTCAGCTTTGGGCAGCACAGAGTCACTCTTGTAGCTTCCTGAAACTGGCTGCATTCAACATAGACAACTCTTGGTCTCTTCTTGCAGAAGCCATCCCTGCACCATCTCCACCCACCCCACTACCAACACCTTGCCCCATAAACCCAGCATAAATGTATTTACTGAGCATCAGAGCAGTCTGGGGAGCTGGGAAGCCCCAGTTTTTGGGCTGAGCTCTAGTTCAGATTCTGCCTTGGACAACTCTTCTCCTTTACTGCGTTTCAGTTTCGATTTGTGTGAAGGCTTTGCCTGTTCTGTTTTTTAAACTCGAAAGACTACCATGTCATTTCTATCTTCTATTTATTAAATGAGCTATACTAGTGAAGGAATGTTAAGAGTTCTGGCAAAGAGGCTAGAAAAAGGTCACCTCAAAAAAAACAGAACAGCTGATCCCTCAAAATGTACTAAGAGTTCAGCAGACAAAAGAGCAAACAAAGAAACAAGAAGAAAGGATGGAAAGAGGTTAATCCACAGACATAAAAGGTACTGACTGGCTAACAAAACAATAGCATTGAAAAGCTGTTTCTTTACAACAGGAAAGAATATATACCTAAATATAGAAATATATAAATATATAGCCTTAGCTCTGAACTTGAAATAAACATGCTTAAAATCTGAGGAACTCTTCCCCCCCCCGCCCCGCCCCACCCAGGTAATGTTTCCCTGTGACTGAAAAGCTAGCCAGGCATTACACTGGTACCACACACTGCTTACAACCGGCCGAGCAAAGGTCAGCATCTGCTCAAGATTAACCCGTGCAGAGAGGAGATGAACAGAAGATGTAATACCACAGAATATTGCTGTGTAGAGGAGACTGGCAGGAGCGGGGGTGGATAAGAGACTGTAGAGTACGGAACAGGCTGGGAAGAAGGCTGCAGAGGCCGCATAGGCTGAAGAAATAACAGGTTTATAAACATGGTTATCATCAGAGTAAGAGAAGGGAAAACAAAGTCTTTTGCAATAGAAAACAACCCAGCTATTCTCCAGAAAAACAACTATGCTCCATTACCAGAAAGGGAATGGACACTTTATTTTTAAAGCTCATGACTGCATAGAATTAAAACAGAAGCAATTTTCAGTATCTGTCTTCCAGCAGAAATATATTAGCTGTAAGTCAGCAAATTGCTTCTATTTAACATTTATGGTTTCTTTTAGAACAATATATTAGCTTAGAAGATAAAAACTATACATGCATTTTAAACTCAAGTTATTTCAAACCATCTAAAGACAGAATGAATTTGTTACTAACCACAGATTAAAACATATTCCTTTCATTTATTCAGCAATACTGAAGTATTTTCTCTAGACTGTGGTTATATGCACATCAGGGAGATCTCATTTCTGATACTATTTTGGAGAAGTTCAACTCCAGTATCCATTGAAAAGGCAATCACAGAAGCAGTGAAGAATTGGTGAAGAAAACTACAACTACCACATACACACTTCTGCAAAACAGATAGAGAGAAAGGGCACAAACGAGCCTTTTTCACAGCAGGTCATCTCTGCTGCGGCATACACAGGTATGCTGAACAAAGAAAAGAAGCAAAGAGAAAGGTTTAGGTGAAGTTCTATTAAAATCTTTTCGAAAAAATTTGAGAACAATTTGAAAATACCACAGGAGACGATAGCCAGTAGCTCAGTGCCCGAAATAGCTGCTGTGAAAAGATGTAGAACCCTCCCTTCTCCTGCCCAAACGTATCCAGTACTTTTCATTTCTTCTTCTTCAAGGGCTGGGGTCATCTTTAATCTGGCCTGTTTTACTAAATGCCTCCTCTACAAGACAAGGATAAAATATATACTGCCCTTCAGCATGCAGTTTTGTGAGTAGAATAAACTAAAGTGCTCCTAAGGAAGTGTTCATACTCTACCAGTCCTAAGCTACCTCTCTTGTGCCATGAGTACTGCCTGTGCAGTACAGCCCAAGAATTCAACTGGCTGAAAAATAACCTTAGGACAAGGAGACCAAGATTTCAGCTGAATTAAGTCTCATACCAGATTGCTGACTGTATTACTATTAACGCCAGGGGTGACCCCAGTGTGACTAAGGATAAAGAGCCTCTTTTCCAGAGCAGAAAATGTTCTTGATACCATAACATGGTATCTTCACATTCTTGATACCATAACAGATTCATACTCTAGTATCTTCTGTATTTTTAAGAGAAGGCTGCCCACCGCGTTCAGTTATTAGCAGTTCCAAGGACTGTGAGGGAAAAGCCCAGTTGCCCACGCCTGCGTAGCTACTGCTCAGCGTGGGCTTCACCAGCAGGAGCCCACGGCCCCTGCTACCCGGTGGCGGCGGCAGCGCCAGGGTGTGAGCTGTGCACCTGGGAGAGGACGTGGTTAGCTGGGGGCTGCGGCGGCGGTGCGGGGAGAGGCGGCTGCTGCGCAGGCCCAGGCACTTGGCTCCTAACAGGCTGCTGAGGCAGAGGAGGATTGTACACAACTGGAGTGCCATCTGGATTAAGGAAGGGCTGACCTGGAGAGTTGGGAGAGAAGAAACAAAAAACAGCCAGCTGCATCATCTCAGTTTGAAGACAAGTACATTTGCAGTAGGCAAAATGAATAAAGCAGTAACGCCGAAAAATAAGCGAGGTCACACCGATTTATGTGACAGATCTACGCCCAATCCCCACGGCTGCATTTGTAACAGCAGTGACTAAACGGGCATCGTTTGACAAACTAACTGCATGCAGTGGAAAATCAAAACATTTAAGGTAAACAAAGATACCCCAGGCTTACTTAGAGAACACAGATAAATATTTACTGTATCCTGCCTGTCTTAAAAACTCTTTTTTAATTAAATGGATAGAAAAGGGCAGGAGTAATAAAAGGAAAACCCTACTAAAAACACTATTTCAAGGAACTTCTGAAAGGTAATTCAATGAATCTCCTTTAACAGGCTGAACCCCAAGGAGAACACAGGAGACCTCAAAGGCTAGTATTTTAAAAAATTTTATATAAAACAGTAGAGCTGCAATGGTGTTTCCATAACTGCCAATGAGGTTACTGTTAAAGGATTCTTCTATTCACAGATGAATTGACCTTCAGCTTTTAAAACAAGTAACGTAGTATTAGTCTCCCATTTAGCAATTTGCAAGTTAACTATTACAGCAGTGGACTAATGAAAAATAATGTGAAAATAAACTATATAAAGTAAATTATAAACAGTGATTTATTTTGGTGCTTGGGTTAGGAAAAAAACAAAACAAATGGATAACATATTAGCTAGCAGGGACCTGTGTTGAGCTGCTTTAATGACATGTGTCTTGCATTGGCTTATTTTGATGCTTAATGTCCAAATACTGATGTAAATTTTTCTCTCCTCTGATACAAATATCTTCCTATCTGAGATGCTTCCTGGAGAGGTATAAACTGAGACTAAAGCTTGTGCACTCTAGCCAGGGTCCTGTCAAAGAAGCTCAATGCTCCTTCAGAGACTTCAACCCATCATACTTAACTGCAACTGGCCAATATAAAAGTTATGAAGAGAGGGCTGAGGCAAGTAATGCAAGAGACAGGAAGCATGAAGAGACTTGCAAAATAAGCTACACCTTAAGCCACTGGGCTGTAGGTGATCAAGCTATATTCCATTTAGCTTAACAGATTTCTTTATAATGGTCAGGAATTGAGAATGTTCATGTAAACTGGGATTCATATTTTCTTTATTTCTTTCTACCACTTGCTGGTAATCACAGGAGCTCAACTTGTTTCCCTGTAGTGGCTAAAAACTCTTTGCCTAATTGCCATCTTTCAGTTACTGAGAATGACAACTCTGTTGATCCAAGGTCACAAGGTCCTCTGTCAGAAATGCAGAGAAACTAATCTATGTTTTTTGAACTCTGACTGTCATTTGGAACAATAAAGCTAGATAAACAATTATAGAATATGATCATTCAAGCACACTAAGTCTAAAGTTCATCTTAACCTATACATCCCTTCTTCTGGAAGTGTACTTGATCTTCTATTAGACATGAACATAATCTTTTATTATGAAAGACTATATATGACTGGTGTAAATACAGTAAAAATGGATAAAATGTGGAAAGAATCACAATTTGAAAATCAAGCTAATTTTAATGAATATCAGAGTGAAGCCTACAATTCTGCTGCGTTTTTCTGAGGGGGCTGCAAGCACAAGATGCTTTCAGATGAACGACTGACAATCACATTTGTTTCTCTGCTCTTCCCTGTTGCTATGTGGCAGTCCCATCACTGTAACAGGGAAAATGACCAACAGTACAGGAAGAAGAATGTGAAACTAATCACATGCAAAATATTGACAAGCACAGGAATAAAGATGACAAACTTTTTTTTAAAAAACTGTGTCATGTTTTATATGGAATCACTTTCAAGCCCACGGCATTGATTCAGTGCCTGCAATATCTGTTTTGCTGTACAGTAACTGTAAAGATGTTAGCATGGTCATGCTATGAAATCATAACATGAAAATGACAGCCAATATTAATCATACTTAAGGTAGAGTAGAGAGGACTTTAGTGTATACAAACACTCAACCCACTTAGTTTTCTAGCAAAACTTGTTCACTGATCATCATATTTATCTTCAGATGATCAACACAAACAAAATGGAAAATTCATGTATAAGAGGTACATCTATCATATTAGAACTAGAAAAACAATAGGGCTACTGTCCAGAACCTAGATCTAAGATGGGAAATATACCCTCCTCCAAATCCAATGGCTAGCTATGAACATCAGATGCTACAGCTTCTAATCACACATCTAGCCATGTGTAACCATTTTTTTTTTTTTTGCAGGGTTGGTTTATACTATTTATTTTTACAGCAGGGCATTTAGGAGAAACCTTTGGCAGCATATCAATATGCAGAATCATTAATAAAGCACTAATTTTGTATACAACAGCAATTCTATTAAGGCTTGTATTAAGTTAGTGTCATGAGCATAGAGACACAAGAATATGTTGCGACAAACAAAACAAAGGATGATAAATTTTTTCACATCAATATGAATACTTCTTCAGGCCCTCTGCCCTCACTGAGACTGTTTTATAGTAGCCCTGGACAAGATTTTTCCCTCTCCCAAAAAAAGCTGAAACAATTAAAGTTATTCTGCATCCTATATTGGAAAACATAGGATTTTCGTATTTTGTGCAAATCACTCTAAATTTTTTACATACAATTTAAAATTCTACCAGAGAAAAATCAAGTGAGTTTACTTATTCCTTTGATCCTAGAGTCATGCGTCCTTTTTAAAACAAGTGCACTGAATGAACACCACCACAGAACGAAACAAAGAGAAAAAGGACAATACTGACATTCAGTCTTATCTAAACACGCGTGCATTTTTCTGCAAGTTCTCAGTTGTAACAGAAAGGTCCAGAAGCGTGTACCAACCTGTTTGAGGGTTGATCAGAACACTGCCAGGCGGAATGCCTGCGGCTTCCAAGGGAAGCAAAAAGAAGCTAGTGCTAGTAGGTGCCACTTGCCCGCTTATGCCACCATCAAAGGAAAGAGAGTTACTAGTGCTGACAGTTGGATAGACGGCAGGCGTGCCATGAGAAGGCTGGCTTAGAGCTGGCACTGGAAGAGGCTGCTGGGTGTGAGAAAGAGAACCCGTGGATGACCCTACACTACTAGAAGACTCTGAACCTAGGAAAGGAGTAACGAGAAATTGTTTTTACCTAAAGACAGAAACATCATGCTCACTTAAAATACATACTTGTAAATACCTACCCTTAAAGCTCAGCATTAAGTACATTAATAAACAGTGGCCTTTTCAATTAACTCCCCTTTCATCTCCTCTACAACGCCACTACAAGACTTGTTCTGTGAAGCAGGGGCCAGTTCAGCACTGCTTTGCACTGTGAAGTGAGGCTTTCATATCTAGCTCCAGCTTCTCGGGCAGCAGACCCAGGCTGTAAGAGAGGCCCGTGCACCAAGGTCCCGTCCATCTGCGCTCGCAGGTCACTCACTCCAGCGTGCCGCAGGCGCTGCCAGTCGGCTGGAGCAGTGGGACGAGCGGCAGCCGGCGGGCGCTGCATGTGAGGCCCTTCAGATACCTCACCCAAACTCATGTGCTCTGGAGACGTAGCCTGCACACAAGCAATGACCAGTTGCTTTTTACTACTAGATGTCAGAGATCTTCTCTGACTCAGCTGCTGGCCGAATTGTGGAATATTACAACGCAAAAAACTCCTTTTCTTCCTCTGACAATTTTCAGACTGGAATCAAGAATACAGCTGTAAAAAGTTACAGTGATCTGGTAGCTTTAGTCTAGTTCTGTGCAACAATTCCAAGTTCAAAAGGAGTATGAAATAGCTGGTTGAAAGCAGAAATCATTTTACAGATATGAATGACTACAAACATTGTAAAGCAGTGGAGAACCAGACCCTGAGCTTTCTGAAAGCACATGCATGCAGCTAAAAGCAACATTACAAAAGTCCAATACAGAGAAGACTGTAGAACTGTGCTATTCCTCAATCACTGCATACCTAGATGTCTAGGTATACAGTTTATCATACTTTTAATTAAGTCTTTGCTATACTTGCAAGCACTTGGAAACAGAATATAGTAGTTTAGATTTAAAAGCTCTTAATTTGCAGCCTCTACACAATCCAGAAGAGAAAGCCAGACTCAAAAAGGGGGGTGATGAAATTTATCTACTTTTGAAGTTAGTTTGCAGTCCTTGTTAAAAAAAAAAAAATCCAATTGTAAAAAAAAACCCCAAATGTGTGTGTGAAAGGACAGTATAGCTTGAAGCATCTGTTGATGCTGACCATTAACCTTTTTTCTGTTGCTAGATGAAATACAAACGTATTAACTGTAAACTGGGCAAAATAGCATGTCCCAGCTCAGTAAAAGGATCTTCACCTGACCACTTTGATTAGATTCGTTTACAAGCATATCCACTTCTAGATTATGTAGAGAAATGAGGCTGAAGCCATCATAATTAAAGCCAATTACATCCTTGATCAAAATGAACAAACAAAACCAATCTCAACACATGCAAAATCACCACGACCTGTAACTGCAGTGAAGCAACTCCCATCAAAAAACGCATTCTGAACTTTGAATGTTAACTCTCAGAATGCCAAAATACAGTTTCCAGTAAAATTTTAAGAATCCATTTACGTTCCTGCAATTTAGAAAACAGAGCTTTCTAATAATCTGTTTTATATATACACCATTGGCAGATTGAAGTTTCTTTTCAGTTGTGCCAAATATTATTGCTAGGTTGCTAAATGAATTAACACAATTATCATGGCACAATTTCACAGCATATGTAGAAGCACCATAGAAGGTATATTTCTTTATACAAGTATACATACAATGGACGAACAGAATTTGTAACTGTTTTACTGCATTAAGATATAGAAGTGTGGTGATATACCTATAAGGTAGTGGTGGTTTAAGGGAAAACAAAAAATTTAAACAGATCCTTATTTTGTAGAATTTTATAAATGAGAAGTTTTATATAACTTTTATAAATAAGATCAAAGCCAAGCATAATACAGGCAAGCAATAATATTCTGCTTTTTTACAGTTCTGCTTCAAATTCTGAAGTACTGCATCTGCAACCCACCCACATATTACAAACCTCAAATGTCCCCACAAGTAAGGTTATCTATTTCATTACTTATATTGGCATTTGGAATACAAATCTTTACTAAATTTCATTTTGATCCACAGAAGATTTATATCCATATTTTCTGACGTGTTGTTTTGACATTAATTCCAAGTTAACACGCCTTTGAAACCCAGACTCTTAAAAAATGAGCATTTTCCACCAACTTTTTTGGATCTTAAAATTAAACATTAAGCTTTGTTGCACTGACCTGATTTTTCAGCATTCTAAAAATTAAGTAAGCTTTTTAGCCATATTCATTTCAGTCTAACAATGGCACTGAAAGATAACACAATAAATATAATAAACAATTCATAGGCTTTAAAGCTGTTTTTTCCTAGCTAGCAGGACAGCAGTGCAGAGCTTCCTAAGGCTGCACATTGCAGCTTTGCCACACAGAAACTAAAGCTGAACTCAACTTTTTCTTTTGTATAAAGTACCTATGTTGAGAAACATTTTCAAATCTTTTCTACGAGATGAAATACATTTAGCTTAAAGCCATCTACAATGCACTTAAAACTCTGCTGCCAAAGTCAAAAGACTTCATCTCATTTCTTACCTGAATTCTAGCTCTAACTGAAAAAAGTCGAGGCTTCTACATAGGTACATATCTGCAACACTTATCAAGCATCAAACCACCAGGCATTTCACTGCTACAGAACTAGGTATTTGTACAGATTGTTATACCTGTCTTAGACAGCCTGCCTGTGCTTTTGCTGCTTCCAGAGCTGTCTCCTCTTGTCAGAACTGATATCCCACTGAAGCTGCTGGCTTTCGTTACAGCTGGCTTCAGGTTGCGGCTGGAGCTGTCGGAGTCGGTGCTGCTCCAGGGACGGGGCTCACAATACTTCACTTCATTCTCCGTACTGCTCTGGTGGCTGTTGGCTGACCTCCCTGATGCTTCCTTATTGATTCTGTAAGTTATAAACTAAACTTTTAGCACAAGCATCAATTGAAAAATAAAAGAAGTAAAAAAAAAAAAAAAAAAAGGTGAAATGCATGCAGAATGCTTTGGGGTTTTATTTTATTTTTTTTAAAGAAAGCATGAAATACCTAAGTATCTGTCGTCTTTGTTGTGTACTATTAGTTTCTTCCTCCTGGATTCTGTTGACATTTTAATAAGATAGCTTAATATTTATTAAGAATAATAGGAAAATGAAACAGAATTAAACTGCAAATTTTCTTACCTTTTATCAATGAAATAGTTCTCTTGGGAACACAGGGACTGAGGGGCAAAGAAGTGTAGAAATTAATATGAATGGCATCTAGAACCCCCACTACAGTTCAGTAACAAAATATGCTGCAATTTGGAGTCTTTTCTATTACACATGGATTTTCATAACATCCTTTTTGTATTAAGCTGCCTGAAAACTTAACCTCTTTGGCTGATAACTTCCCTGTCGTGGGGAAAACCCCAACGATACAAAGAAGCCCATCTGCAGGAAGTAAAAGTTATCATTAGAACAATTAAAACGCTGACCACTTGGGTTATATTGTTATTTTTTCTGAAGTTGGAATTCTTCCACTGTGCCTTCACTGCTTTATGCAACTTCCAGCTGATGTGTGACTTTCCAAGTCTGCTACCACCACCTGAGTGGCCTTGTCTTCTGCTTGAAAATGTGAAGTAGAAGATGATGCTGGCTACTGCAGTAATTGTACTGAATTCTTTGGGTACAACTACACATGTGCTAAAAGGCAGACAGAATACACAATCAAAAAGGCTGTTAAATTCAATTATGTTGTCCTTGACTGTGACTTCTAACATTTGGCACAAACCTCCTAAAGGTAAAATACATAGTAAATGAGTACATGGGGAAAAAAAAAGGTAATTTCATATCCAAAAATCCATTCTTTTTGTTCATCACTAAGGTTTTAAAAAAAAAAAAAAAAAAAAAAAAAAGCTTTTGGAAAATATTTATATATAGCAAATTAGCCTCTCAGAGCTTATTATGCTTTCTTTAGAACAAGAATCTGGGTTTGGATGTGCAAGAGCTACAGATAAATGTCAAAAAGTGGATTATTAGACATAACACATTTTAAAATATATTTTCTGTTTCACTTAATATAACTAAATATAATCACTTTGATTGAATTGTAGTTTACAGTGTTGTCCTGCTCGATATCTCCAGTCAAAAGACACTAGACTTCTAGATTTCCAACTGAAATTTCACTTATGGGAATTCAAATAATTTTGCTATGACCAGTCATAAGATGTGCTTGATACAGACACAAGTGAGAAAACCCAATATTTTGTTTGGTTGCTTTTTAAAATGTCTTTTTTTGTTTGTTTGTTTGGGGGGGGGGGGGGGGGGGTTTTTTTTTTTTTCT